TACAAAAATCACTAGTTTTGAAACATGTGACGCCGAACAAATCACTAGTTTCGTTACGTTTCTCGAAAATGACGTAACGACTCACGCCTACCACTAAAGTTTTTGACAATGACAAAAACGTCAACTTCAAAATTACAACTGACAACACTGCTGGCTGCCACAGAGTGCTATATTTTTTTAAAACATCTGTCACTAGTAGATTTCGTTACATTCTATGTAAGGGCGAAATTCGTCTTTTAAAACTTATACATAGGTGTATCAACCTAGTTTAAAAATCTCTCTTTGATCATGCTGCACCAAAGCCATTATAAAAAACAAAAACAGAAGTAAAGTGCACTTTTTATTTTAATAATCCAACAACGAAAACGATTTCAAATTACATTTTGTGTCAATGTTCACACCCACGAGGACAATTTGGACAACGACGCAATCTTGATGATTCTTAAAAAAACAAAAATTTCCTGAAAAAAAGAAATATAAAATGTTTAAATTAAATCAAATGAAATAACTAAATACATTTTACTACTCAAAATCACAATATTATAAATTATTATCAACATTCAACTATCACAAATAAGTTATAATTTCTTGAAAAGAAATCTTTTAGCAGTCAATAGTAATTTACTTCTTTGTTTTTCAAACGATTGTATTAAATTTCCGTTACCGTTCCCTCCGAATGCCACCAGCTGCTATCTCATGTTCGAGTGCTGCAATTTTCTCTTCGTGCCGAGTACGTTGCGCCTGCGCTCGTCTCTGTTGTTCTTCCAGTGCTAAAACAATTTTCTCCAACCGATGGATCTGTTGCTGTTTGCTTTCCAACGTCGAGAATAACTCTTGAATTTCTTCCGCCTTTGCGGCTATTTGTTTGTTTACCTGAAAATACCACAACCGTTTTTTTTACCACAAATATCTTGTAAAACGCTTAATCAAATTTGTTGCTCAAAATCTTTGAATTAAATACATAGTTTAAGATAAACAAAATATGCAGTAGACATACCAGAAACAATTCAGCAAAAGCTAACAAAACGGAACCAAAAAAACAATAATGCGCTCTTCTAACCTCGTCTACAATTTTCATTCGATGTTCAAGATCTTGCTGTAGAATGGACAGTTCACGACTCTGTTCAGTCTCTTTATTCTGAAGCATGTTGATTAATTCTTCCCGGACCTGTGTATTCGTCTTAATGATGACAAAAACCATGAACAAAAATAAGTTTAGCTTGTGAAAAAAGCTAGAAATATCTACATTGGTGTTGGTAAAATAAGTAAATGAGATAATAATACGTATGGGCACGCCCCGAATTTAACAACTCAACCAACAGATTGTAATCAACAAATAAGATACGTTGTTTAAATTTAAATTAACAGAAATAAGTATTTATGATAGACCTTGATGACCCTTGCCTGGGCACGTGACGTCTTATCCTGCTGTTCCAACTGCTGTTCTTTTTGAATCAACATTTCTGTTAACTCCTCGTTTCTGTGCACTGCTTCTAGGAGACCCATTCTAAGATTCATTATCTAAAACGTTTTTAATTATTGTACATGAATGATTACCTGAGTCTTAAGATGATGCTTTTGAATTTTGTTGAAAATTACCTCTTGCTGTAATTCTTGATATGCTGAACTATTAGAGGTGTCTTGTCCGTCTGATGAAACTGGAACGCACGTTTGCATATCTCTTACATATTGCTCATATTGCAAAACTTTTTGTTCACTGGAAATAATAAAAAGCATGAAAACAAAGAAAAAATTTAATCTATCCTAATGGTGACTCATTGCGATTATGCGTCGCTATCATACAAGACAAGGTAAATAAAAAACATTTGGCATACTTACGCTCCTTGTACACTTATTATAAAATGTTGAAGTATTGAGCTTATAATTTAACTTGTAAAATATATATAATGAAAAAGACCTACTTGAGTTTAATGTTTTTCGTCAATTCTCTAATTTGTGATTGCATCTTGCTAATAAGTTCTTCCTTGCTTAGGAGCTCGCCCGCCAGTTTCTGTTGCATTCCCATTTTGTTATCAGATTCCTATAAAAATTAATGAACGTATATCAAATTGCATGATGTAGAAACAATTTTCACCTTGACAGGGTTGATCAAAGAACGTTTCTGGTATATAGGACTGGAAAGAAAAAGTATTCTTAATTATTCATGTAAACCAAATGTACTGTTATTTAACTAGGCGTTGTAATTTTTTTACTTTACTAAATACTACAACATTTATTTCAAACTCGAAATATATAATCACAGTGATTTTCGTGAGCGTTTCCAAGAAGCGGACTTTTTCACGTTTGCACGATATAATTTCTTCTTCTGTCGCACGCAATGTGTCCTTCGTTGCGATAAGATCTGCTCTTAATTCCATTTCTCTTTCAGTTGGAAGATCTACAAAGAAAAATAAAACTCTGTAATCATTAGTAATCACATGAGAAATAAAACGTGAATCTCATCAAGTGTTATGGGTGATTGTGTGATTTTTACCTGGGTTTGGTTTGCTATTTTCAAGATCAGCTATTTGCATTTTTAATTCTTCAATAGTATTCAAACTTTCCCTATAAGAATCTTCGAACATTATCTTCATCTCCTGTTCTTCTTGCTTTCTTCTCCTCTCTTCTTCGAGAGTTGATTTCAGTTCTTTCATTTTATTATTCAATTCCTGTACCGTATTCTGGCTATCCGAAACATTTCTTTGCAATTGCTCTTTCATTTCATTTAACCTAAAAACATTTAAAGTGACTTTTACTAGGCATTAACCTAACATTTTGGCTTATATAAATTCATAACCTGTATGATATTTATATGAAATGTCACTTCGCGACTAACATAAGAGAAAATTCTATTAAAACAATTACAGTTTTAAAAAACTCCGATATTGATGATTCTTTTGGTATAGAAGTAAAACAAATATAAAAGCTAATTACTCTGTCTGCAATGCGTCACGCTGTTGGATCACGTGACTGTTGGTCATCTCCCCGGTCTTCAGAGATTCTTTCAACTTCCTCGCACGCGCCTCTAACTGTACTTCTTTTTGGCGACTCTAAAATTCAAATAGAATGTTTAAGAAAACTGAGTTTGCAAGAAGACACAAGCATATGGCCTCTAAAAACTTAGAAATTCGTAAACTCTATAAAGACTACTGGATTACTGAAGGGAATGGTTATCTGTTCATTATAGTTACTTACCTGGTCTTCTAATGACTTTACTGTCATTGTAAGGCTAGCTATACTAGCTTCTGCTTCCCGTAGCTGTCTGTCCATTTTGTTAACTCGTAGCCGCGACTGACGCAGCTGCGACTCCGCGGTAGACAGCTTGTCTTTAAGAATCAATTTAGATGCACGTTCCTCTTCTAACTCGAAACGAGTATCCTGTTACATTGAGGCTGTTTGTATTCACCGACAATCAATAATTAGTTAAACAGATCAATCAGTTGTTCACGCAAAAATGTCCTCTAGTCTATATGGGAGATAGTACTTGGGAACTTTGGATTCATAGATGTTGCATTGGACAATCATTAGATTACAAGCAAATGTTTATCATACCTCCAGTGCTTTAGCTAATTCAGTTCCAGTTGAATTAGCCGTGTTAATCTCCATCGCTATGGCTGTGTTCACTGTAATATCTTGCCGTAGATGGGCAATCTGCTTCACTAGCGATTCTCCCACAGTTATCAATAGTCCACGTTCTTGACATGCACGTCTATAAAAATCGCTTTTATCTTAAGTGATGTTGTATAAAACAATTATAGAACGTAACAAATAACGGTAGTTATAGTTTTATGATGAAAACTTGGTTTGCGGAAATATTTCTGTTATTCAAAAGCTACAATGTTTAGTTATAAGCTTGACTAAGTTAAATCAAAGTTATACTCGTAGATTACTTTAATAGTTGGGTAATTCCCTGCAACGAAGCATCTGCTTGGGTTTTTAGATCGCCAAGCTGCTCGCAAAGTTCGAGCCCTTGTTTGTTGTAGATTGTTATGCGGCTCAGGTCCTCCTCATTTATTGTCTCCTGCTGTTAAATTTAAATAACCATTAGAATGTACAGATCTTAACCAAAAATGCCACGAACAGGATCAAGGATGTTTATAGAGCAACGAACACTTCCACCACGTTTTGAATATTTAACGTATCAAGATCTTGAGTTTAAAAAAGCAATAAGGTTTATGGTTAAATTCAAAACATTTAAAATACTTACGTTTGCTATTATCTCTTTAACCCAATCTATAACCTCTTGGCGGGCAGTGAATGCCTGTAAACATAAGTCGGCAAAATTTCCGGGCAAGTTCAATACTTTTCTATCCCATTCGGACAAAAATTCATCGTCTGAAAGCAAAATGTGAATAACCATCATACAACTAATAATTTTGAACGAAAATAATAACAGTTGAGGAGAATAGAAGATGTTAGTACAAAAATTATGAGATACTTATATATAATATATAATTTGTATTGTCAATTAAATTTAATTAAAAGTGTTACCAATAGGCGCAATTGCTTTGATAATTTCGCCCGCTCCTTCTGCAGCGGGGTTACAGTTGCGCACCAACTGTGCAACTTCCGTGGCCGCCCAGTCCGCCACGTTGAAGATCATCAGCTCCTGTTGGTTCAAACCCTCGCCTTCGCCAGATTTGCCTTCCTTTATCATACGGTCCCGTAAATTTTGCAGATTGTTAAATATCTCCAATATGGCTTGCTGCAGTCGAAAAATATATTTCATTTAAGTTATTATTTATTACAATAGTACTACATTTTATTGTGGTTTTAAAATTATTGCTTGTTACCTGTTTCAAATCCAACTCCTTCTTCAATCGATGAAATTCCTCTTGTTTAGTAACAAACACTGCGGAAATATCATTAGGATCTTGGTTGTCGTTAACCACTTGTTTCTTCGGTTGTGGCTTTGGTC